CAGGTGGGGAGCGGACGCCGCAGCGTTCTACGCGCCGGAGGGCTCCAAGTCTTGAAAGGACGTCTTCGTCGTGCAGGACCGATCTCATCGATCTGTTCCCAAGTTCCGATGTTGCCAATTGGCAATGGCCTCATGCTACAGCTGTCGAGCAACAGTTCAGCCGCTCAGGCACAGGCAGGTCCTGCATCTCCCTTACCAGGGGTATCAGGATCATCAGGGAAGGGAAGGACTACTACTACCTGATCTACATCTACCAGGGCGAGATCCAGGGGTACTTGGGCTACCGCCAGGACAAGGACACGGATGTCGATTGCGGCAAGAACGCGCCGCGGTAGGACGCCTCCTGCCGCGGACGAGCATCGGCAGATATCGGACGCCAAACGTGTTAAGAAGGCCGGAACATGTGCTACCCTTGTGCCCCTGATCATCAGCACATCGTTCCACGCTTGTATGACTCTTGTTAATTTGCATAGCTCGTGCATAGTGTTGTGTGTATAGTGTCTCACCATCAATTCATGTAAATTGAAACTTGAAAATCATGTTTACATCTACCTGAAATTATAATTCAAGTAGGGTCGTTTAGAGGGCAAACCTCCACTTTTCTGTTTCTGGCAGAGCCTTTCGGCTCTCGAACCTGTCAGGAGCAACTGCGACTGCTTGGACTCGCCAACTCTTTCTCCTCTCGTCCTGCAATTAAGCAGTCAAAACCAAATACATGTGGCAAATATATTGGGTTTTGAGAAGAAAAGGTAAATAACAAGGCTAAAAAATATCTTTCTCCTCTCGTCCTGCAATTAAGCAGTCAAAACAAAATACATGGCAAAGATATTGGGTTTTGAGAAGAAAAGGTAAATAACAAGGCTAAAAAATCTACGTAAGCAATTTAAAATTCTATCAGTTCGGACATAACAAAGGAGATGCTACCTTGCTTATGAGATTGAATATGAACCTATTAGATCAGAGAATACAAAATGTTGGGGAACTCAGCAACAACTAAAAAATAGTGTACACTTAAATAAGAGTAGTTAGCTACCCAAATTTGTTGGTGACTTTGTCAATAGTTCAATATCGAGATTTGTCGACTCGGTCTTTTGGAGGTGTTCATTAGAAGTAGAGTGTATGTGAACATGTTTAGAGGTGAGCATGTGTGGAACGTATGAATGTCAGTATGTTGGAGGGTGTCCAAATCACACACCAGCAAGGTTAGCACGCCCAAGGGGTTGCAAAACAACCTGCATGCAGCAAGAACGTGAGCGTGATCAACGAAACCGATCGAGAGACCGGTTAGGCTGATGCTAAGCTTGTTCTTGGCTGAAAATACTCTCGAGAAGACCCGTCGGGTCGGGGAGGAGCACGTGGAGGATGCCCTAGGACCAGCAAGGCCGCCTAGGATGCCGACAAATTTCGCCGAAAGACGTGCCAAACAGTAGGATGGGTTGGAAAAGGGGTAAAAGAGTTGGTAAACTGATTTTATGTCGATTGAATAGTTGGTAACGCGCGCATATATGTACCTGTGGGCTGTGGAGAAGATACTACTACACGGCGAAGAATGTGCGCAAAAGTACGCGTACGACGACGTGGTCAGCAGCGGCAAGCGCGCGCGGTGCGTTCGTACACGGGCTGACGGGCTGGCGGGCGCCGTTGTAGCAGCCTTAAATTATACGTATATGTACTTTGTAGGCGTGCCTAGAACGAGTTTAATACGGTTGACTAAGGACGTGATCGGTTGGGAATTGGGAATATTGGATGCTTCCCCTCTATAGGCTCTACTCTCCTAATAAGTTTCTGGTTGACTATGATGAGCTGCAGCCTCCGGCAGAGCAAGACACCGTGACTTTGCTCTGCGAAGTCCTTGGCCCCCTATATCCCCCGCACAATCCAACAAATCCAACCGTGCTGAGTGATTCTAGCCTCGAAAACACAGCCAAGACCTAGCAATTTTCAGCTCATACGTCACTATCTCCTATTTTTACACTACGTTCTTATTATTCCACATCTTACACGATCCTTGCATTAGATTGTCCCGCTCTCTCTACTCCATCTGCCCACAAACATAAGTATTTCTAAGATTTTTAGGATAAATTAACCGAGATGACCAATGCCAGTAATCGCGTTCAGAAAAAAATGGCAATAATGATATAAGCAATGATTAATTATGGGGGAGGTGTGGATTATTAGGCTACAAATGCTTACGTTCGAGGTGAACGTAGGAGTAGGCCACGGGCCACCCATAGTTTTTTTTTTCAAACTTGGAAAGCAACAAACCAAGCATTGCATGTCTGCAGAACTACAGAGACAATGCATGCGGAGCCGACTGAGCCGTGGTCCCAAATGTCCGCTCGTACGTTCTGCCCGGCTGCCGCCCCTTCGGCGGTTTTGAGCCCTTCCCCTTGCAGCTTGCACCAGAACCGCTCCGGAGTTTCACGCAAAACCACCTCCCTGCACTTCAATTCTCTGTAGTCCGTATGACACCCAAGATTTTTTTGTACAGGTAAATACTAGTACTGCTAGTTGTTCACCCTGTTCGCTTATGTTGAAATTTAGTTTATGCTGATATTTATGCTAAAATATTGTGAGAGAAAAATATTATTCTATGGTTGAAAAATAGTTCAGTCAAACAGGGCTGTTGTTTCCGACCAGATTTTGTACTGCTCGCAGGGCAAAACCGGCGTAAATTTCCGACCGGAGAGAGGGAGTACTACAGAATTTATACAGTAAAATCACCACAACTGGAAGAGCGAGAGATGATAGAATACACTGCCACAGCCTGAAAAGGCTTCGAAGTCAACTGAATTCGCTTCAGAATTCTCTTCTATGGTTGGCTTGGCGGTGAACTTGTGCTGCATTCCATGACCCAGACGACTTGCGATTAATTACAGCGTCGACTTCCACAGTTCGACTGTCTCGTCTGATGAGCAGAGGAAGAAGCAGGGAACGCCCAGAAGGATGAAGCTTTGCCGCACGCAGGCAGGCATGGATATAAAAAGCAGATCATGACGCGTCAATTCAGCCGGGACGGCGGACATCTGCACTGTCCCTAAGCTAGCTTACATCAAAAGCCTAACTTAACCCAAAGGACAGGCAGCAGCAAACACGCTTTTAATCAAAAGGAGCAGAGGGCCTGGTAAAAACCTGGAAAAAGATAAAGGGGCAAAAAGAGAAGAGGAGGAGGAGAAGCTCGCTATGCGGGCCGGGATTCAGAAAATTCGCCAGCTTCCTGGTGCTCCCGTCTTTTGTTTGTTTTTTTTCCTTCGTCGTCGTCAATCAAAGCAGTAGATTCCGAAAGGTTCTTAGCTGGCCCAACAAAAAGGTCCATCCGTATATGCGTGCATATACGCTTGTACCAGAAGGCCTGGTCCATCCTGTTTTTTTCTTCTTTCTTCGGCTGCACTCAACATAGCTTTAGGACACTGTGCCTTTGCATTAGCAACAGGGGCAGGGGCTTATTCACTTTGAGTGAACATTATCACTGTCGCTGGTAGCCTGGTACTTGTAATAATTTCACAGCAACTACTGGCCAGTCATCAGTGCGAAGAAATTTGTACTAGAGCAAAGTAATCCGTTCCAGTAAACATGTGTGTTCTTGCAAAGGATTTGAAATCATGGCAAATTATTGTCTTTCAGAAACGGAGAACCCCGTCGTTTAGCAAGCTTGGCGTCGTGATAACTCATAATAACGTCTACGTGTTCAATCCATGTGGTGAGTAGCAGCAGTGACACACGGAATGACTTGTAGTAAAAGGGAGGTGACATGCACACATAACAGAGCAGAGAAGACGAAAGGGCCCATCGGCCAGCGACTTTTTACGTCCACGGTAACATGATCGACGACCGACCGGTCCAAGTCACGTATTCTTTCTTCCGTTTCAATTACGGTCAGTTTTCCAACGAAAAGCGAGCGTGTCAAGTACACGATTAGACGGGAGGGTTCGGTGTTCGCACACGGCGCGGCGCCAGCCAGCCAGCCAGCCAGCCACTGGCCCTTTTCCTTCCTCGTCACCGGGCGATGGCGACGGCGGTGGAAAGCTATCGGCGGCGGGGAAGTAAAAAGCGAGCCGCGCGGGCGCGGCGTGCAGCGCGGGGCGGAACCGCTGGAATCATTGTGGTTTTGCCATGGTTCCGTGCTAAAGCGGGTGGCTTTTGCCGCTTTTTCCCGCTCCCACCATGCGCGGCCGGCCAGGCCTTCCTTGAGAGCCGCGGCTGATCGAGGAGCTGCTCGGCTGCCGGGTGCCGGCCGGGGAGGGGAGTCTGCTGGCGAGCGCGACGACCGGCGCCATCCGCGGGTGTGTGTGTGTGTGTTCGACAAGGGCACGCGCGCGACAGGCACGCACACACACAACAGACACTCATTGTTTATCATGCGGTGGCAAGGACTTGGTGCCAAAAGCCGGCAACTTTACAGTCGTTACTGGAGATGGAGAGAGAGACGCAGACGGAGACACTACACAGGCACGCAGGCAGAGAGACTTGCTTGAGAGACAGAGAGATATAGGTAACTAATCTGGGCATCTGGCCCAGTGGGCAGTGAGGCAGCGAGCACAGAAAAGAAGAGCATCATCAGTGCGCTAGCGCTACGGACACTAGGAACTCGGAAAGCAAGGGGTGGTGCTGGTGGCCTGTGCCGCTGTGCGCCTCTGCCCCTGCACAGCATGCACGGCGCATGAGTGACTCAGTGACTGTGGGGTGCTAGTACTCATTGCCTGCCTGCCTGCCCGGGCTCGGCTCATCAGTAACAGCTGAACGCTAGCTGCTGCTTTGGGCGCTCGCTTTTCCTCGACGGCTTTCTGAAAAGTTTGGGTACGTGTGGCCCCACATTCTCTTCGGCCAAGCCTTTGTGCGCTCGGGCGCTCGGCTATGTATAGAGGAGCAACCCTCTGCTGCCCAATTCCAACTCAGCTTTGACTGCCCTTGCATTGCTTGCTGCTCAGTTCCTTTCCCCCTGTTCCTCCTCCTCCTCTTCTTCTCGCACATCGGCGCCTGCTTCGGCAACTGCGAGCGAGATGGAGGTGAGCCAAGAATGCGTCTTTGTTGTTTTTCTTCTCTTGTTTTTTTTTTTTTGTCAGATATTAGCCTCATCCGTCATGATATGGGGATCTGCATCCTTTTGCAACAACGAAACTGAACTATACACCATGTCCTTGCTAACAGAGAAACATGCCATGGCAGTTGGAATATCCTCGTCCTATATAGGAGTAGTTATCTACTGTGAATCTGAAATATACTATGCTCGTAACAGTGTTTGTTTTCTTTTTAAACAAGCACGTACGTGTCCTGCATTCACATACTGTTTTTCTTGCTTCCAAACTTTCAGAGAACAGGATTACACATATTGCATTCTTCAGTCGACGAAGCTTTGTCATGCCGATGATATGTCTGCTTCCTACACTCTAACTATGCACGTACTGTTCAGTCGCACACCAGAGGAGTAAAAAGTTTCGTTTCGTTTTTCTGACAGGCTCAAGACGACTGCAAGTGGCGCCAGATCCCGGCGTTCGGCGACTGGAACCTGTGGGACGACATGCCCGTCACCCAGTACTTCCAGGCAGGGACCTTCTTCTTCGCCGCGCCGGCGGAGAAGGACGACGAGGATCTCTTCAAGGTGCCCCAGTTCCCTGCCAAGCCCTACAGCTACAAGAAGGTGAAAGAACAGTGCATTTCTTTCATCGACTCCGTTAGCAGTTTAGCACTGTTTCATACTATTTTCATTTCAATTTTCACTTCCATACCCAGTCTGCACTAGCTATAACAAAGATACTGACGATTCTGTGGTTGATGTGCAGTGCGTTGTTCGAGTGAAGGGGGAGAAAGAAAACGCTGTGTCGGCGAGGAAGGGAGGCAGGAGGCGCTACGTGAACGAGCAGCAGAAGTGGAAGCCCAAGGGATCTGTGGACGAGGACCTGTACAAGATTTCCCCGCAGCTTCTGTGCAAGGTGAAGAAGGCAAGTACCCTGTAATCCCCGTTTGCTCTCAGATTAGTGCGTCTCTTGTTGCACCCACGTGTAGCTAAGTGGGTTTACTTTTTATCTAGTTCTCATCATGTGATTGAAACAAACCTTTATCTAGCCTAAGCTGACCCTTTGTAAGTAGCTTTTGTTAGGGTAACACTAGAACAGCTATATTTGTCAAAGATGTGACCTTTTTTTCAAAAGCTTAAGCACTTCATTTCTCACAGCAAGTGGAGCTATATTTTTCCCTAATAAAGCTAGCTGGACTGTAAATTCTAGCAAGATTTTAGGAGAGGATTTTATTCTCATGATCTTTTGTTTTGTGTTGCAGAAGAAGCTGCTGAGGAATTTGCTGGGAGGGTGCCTGGGCCTGAGCTGCATCGCCTGAGAGATGCAGAGCTTAACAAGTTTCTGGGGAGTTTGCTTTGGTTGGTGCTCCGGAGAGTTGTATAGTGTCTACGCTAATATGGAATTAATGGAAACTTACTACTGCTTTTGCACTCGTTTGAATGTAACACTTGCATTCCATCTTTACCGGTGTTGCTTTACTACCTCACTTTTTTTTTACTAGTACATCTTAAAGCAGCTAGGGCAAAGAGCGGTAAAAAAAAAATAAAACTGGGATTTACAATATTATCTTATCTGATATCGTTAATTTTCTGATTCCGGAACCTACTAGGTACAAAATCAACCTTGATTAACTAATGTCTTCAGCAAGACTTGTTAGGGCAAGTTCAATGATTCAGCCAAGCTCTTGTAAAACTATTCAAGTCCTCGTTGTAATAGACAAGCCATATAACGATTCAACAATAATAGTTGTAGCTAAACTATGTTCCCATTTGTCTTTTCTCTTCTCTCTCCTTATCTCTCACACTTTACTAGGCAACAAACTTGCCACAACCTCTCCTCTCTCTCATCCCCTCCATCCTTCAAGACCTTATCTTGGGCCGATCGACCTAACCTGAGAGTTGAGACTAAAAAGCCTAACTCTATCAGCACATAAGCTGGGTTCATGCTTTTCAGACAACAATAACCATGATATAGGCACGAGCTACAATTCCCCCACCCCCCACCCCCAAGAAACCTGACCCAAACACATCCGTCAGGGGCGAGGGCTATAAATTTTGGTCCGATGTGAGGCCTAGGTGAGGTTTGGGCCGGAAAAAATAAACTTGAGTTTCTCGGCTCGTTTCAACAATGCTACTATGCTAGTGAAAATAAAATAAACCTAGGCTGTAAGTAATTCCAAACATAGTACTATGGCTCATCGATTCTGTTATAAAACATGTTGTCAGCGGTTAAGACCTTACCCTCTCCGTCTCTCATGATCAATATAGTAGATGAAAGTAGAATACATAGACAAAAGAGATAGAGAGACTATTCTTTATTCCTCTAAATATTAATGATTTACAACATAGAGCTCGGCCTAAGAGTTTGGTAAGAGTCCACATATAAACGGACTAGAATTAGGATTTTTCCTTCTGCTTTCCTTCTATGATAGAGTCCGCATGTTTTACAACACCCCCCTTGGACGATTACCACAATATGCACATGCCTCGTTAAAAACTCCATCCGAAAACCCAGTGAAAAAAACGGTTCTTGGAGAAAAGAGTACATTACATTCGTTAATTGCATTGCACATGTTGTCTCATTAAAAGCCTTGTGCGAGAAACCTTTAAGTAAAAACTCACATAGGAAAAAAGAGTATAATATTTAATCTTCTTGCTCATATATTCTTCAGGATATTCTATTCTTCATGAATAGATATTTATCTTCATAATAAATGCAAAAACTTTAACATTTTTAGCAAATATGGACTACTTGATCTTGATAATTCTAATGGTTTAATTACATTCGATGTAGATTCAAACAAATTGCTCCTCCTCATAAAGCCATCCTTTGAACGTCATTGTTCAAACCATATTTTTTCATAAATGTGTGTTTAATAATAGTATGCAGTACCACAATACTATATCTTTCAAAATATTGGCTCTTAATTCTTCTATGAATTATAATATGAGTAAACAAGAGCAATATGCTTCATGCATAAATGACTACTTATTAGTTGTGCAAATCTAATAAATTTATCCTTCAGAGTAATAAATCCTTTCAGAGGATTATGGAGTTAAATAGTTTACAATATTCAATATCTTCTAAATAGTGCATCAAACTTATACTGGAGTTTGAATACTTACAATTCTTCCTTATTGGATTTTCAAATTATATGTTCTACAAATCTTCAGGACTTCGATTGTACCACTAAATAATAAATTCAGTCTTACATTTGGCATTTAGGGGATAATTCAATTGCTAAAATCACCATTATTCTTATACCTTCTATGGTATTTAGAAGATATCAATATTTCATTGCTAGCTTTACAATATACACTTTCTGAGTATTTGTATGAAACCTTCATGGTGTTTAGAATTTCTCATTTTCTTTCTCTCAGGTTTATATTCACTTCAGGGATTACTGATGTTTATTCAAGAATCGATTGGTATATCCTTCATGGATTAACTCCTTCAAGGATGTTATCATTTTCGGTGAATAACATTTCTCTTCTATGAGATATATTCTCTACTATATGAGAGATTATTATGTGATATCCACAACGAGATAGTCATTCACTACTAAGTCATTCGATGACTATTTCTTCTAGAACATACTTTTTTTGAGACTTCAATATTCATTCAAGAATATATTGTACCTTAGACTTCTTAATACTTGGTATGAGATTTATTTTTCATATGTTGTGATTTATATTCTTCAGAAACTATATGGATCTTCATAATCCGTTTATTAACTGCATATTTTATATTCATCTATTTCATTTGGCAGAGATATAGCAGAACATTTATTTCTTCTTAGTAGGAGATTCAATCTCAATTGCTTTCTTCATTGACCTGATATAATCGCTACAGATGACTTTGCCATTGACTTTTGTTTTTCGGATCTAGGTTCTCATAAGAGAAACATTTACAATTCTAGAGGTAGCATTGTCGACAACTATTATTTCTCCCAATATTCATACAATATGAGATTATTCTATCTCTTTGTCATTTCCCAAACAAGAGAAAATTTATTGTTTTGTGTACCCAACACTATGATGCGTGTGCTTAGTGTGTTGGATTTCATCTTTATGACGATCCTCTTCATGAGGTGCTTGACCTTTTTCATGAGGTGTTCTCTTCATGAGAATGGAGTAGTTTGTTCTTATTTTATTTCTATTCAACAAGTATATACTAAACTAGAACCCACAGGCATCTCAGTGGATTTTACCTTGATAGTATACAACATTTAATTTACTACTAGTAAACACAATTTTTGATTTATAACTTTAAGTTACTCCTCTTATTTTTAAAAATATCTAGCATATGCTCCGCTTCATGCTTCACAAGAGTATTAATTAAACTAGTGTTTGATTTAGTGTGTGATACTATTCCTGCTTCAAGTTCCAAGGAATATTTTCTCTTAAGATAATTCTTCTTCTATGGAAATAATATTTGGCATTCAACATTGGCTTTCTCTCCCCCTAATGCCAATATTAGATCTTTAATAGCATACTTCAAAAGATATCCCTTATGATGGGTTTAAAATGATTTAAATTCATATATCTTCAACTACAAGTGGAGGCCCATTCATGTATGCTATGTGTAATTTTATGGGAAATATTCATGCACATATTTAAATTAGGGGTTATTACACATTAAATGCAGCGAGCTAGAATACATAAAGTGTACCTAATAATGTTCATCATTCCTACAAACTCAGGGTCTCCCCCGATTTGCACATATAGTTTAGAAAACTATTTCATTATCTAGCTTCTTTATTATTTAGCTAAAAAATTGATCTAAATACTCATACCATATATATAAAAAATTAGACCATATACTTCATCATATATATAAAATACGCAACATTCAAATTCACATGGAATTTCTTCTAGAATTTTCTAATTGCCATTAATGCAAAATTCCCCAAATGTCTTTTCTTCTTAAATCCCAAATCATCATAAGTGTTTTATCTATCAACTCAATTTCTATTATAATCCATCCCATTCAATTGGGTCACTTCTCCATTTAGCTAATTTCAATTTAAGCAACTCACCTTAATCTTAAGCTACTTGGCCCTAAACCAATTTATTGTTTATCATGCAATCCATTGAAAGCAAGATATTCTTAGTTTAAGGGAAACTATATACATAGCGTACTAGCTACCTAATCTAATTATAGGGGAAGTGCAACGTAGCTACTAGCTACAAATATAGCTTCTATGCTAATATTCATGTAGGAGTGGAGATAGTTACAGCTCGACGAGAGCACAACATAGTGATACACATTCAAGTGTAATGTAGAATGTTGGTATTCAATCCAACGTAATAGATAACAACAAAATGCAAACCTACAAGCTTGCTTGCAATTAGTGCAATGCAGAGAAAGTTAACTCGGCTGAAAGGGATGCGACTAGGACTTCAAGTATTAATACAAGCACTTAAAGATGGATTTAGGAAGACTATGCCTACTAAATATATATTATCCACATTTTTTATGCCTTTACCAAAAATTCCTCCCCCACATGCCATAATTACTTTAGGTAGTAATATGCTTCATGGATCATTACGAATAATCATTTCTAATGATTCATAGAATCTAATCATACTTCTAGTATTCATTGGTTGTGGCATGAAATTCACATATCTAGTGTACTATTCAGTGTACAACAACATATTCGGGATATAGGACATAAACTTCTAGTTTTTGGCTAAAGTATTAAATACTTAGTTTTATAATCTTCATGATTCATTGAGGCTTCTTTGTGGATAAAATTATTGCAAAACTTATTTAGATAGGCAAAACTAGACAATTATTTATATGTGAAACATATAAATATTATTTATTCCATGCAAGATTGACACATATTACTACAAGTAAGAATTGCAACTAAGAAGATTAAATGCTTCATATTAGTCTTCAAGCTAATAGATTAACCATTAACTCTTTTATGAGTATACGAGAACCACTTAATTCAACGAAAATTAAAACTTAATGCACCACCGCCACTACTAATACTTCTAGATAGTAATTTCAAAGACAAAACAAATATGTAAGCACATGATTTAAGCTCTTCTTCAAGAAAAAAACCCTTAAATATTCTAAATAATATCCATTCTCGCATGTCTTAACTTCTATACATGACAGGCGGTAGCTTCAGGTTTTATTCAATATTTACAATATTGCCTTCAAGGGGTGTAACATATGCGAGCCACATATTCAAAGTTATTGCAACTGATAATATCCTAGTTTAGAAAGCTGTCTATAAATTTCAACTCAATTTCTATTTGAATAATTTCTAATGGTAAATTCAAATACTTCATGTATTAGATTGCT